TGAATCATATACTACCTTCATAGACAAGAAAAATACAGAGTTCAGCCATAGCGTGACATGCTGCTAGGCTGGCCAGTGCGAGAACACTCGCTTTTTTCGAATCTTCAAAATATTTAAAAATAGCTGCATACTTTCATAACATCCCTTACATTGCGTTTACATCCATTACATATGGTGAAACATTAATTCTTACAATTAGTCAGATATATAGCACTCACAATATATAATTAATGCAATAAATAAATATCCTGTAGAACTGAAATATTTGAAAAAATTAGGGAATTATATGCCAGTGGATAAAGATCTAATATCACTCTACAAACGAATCAAACATTTCGGAATAAATTGAATGTGTAAGAAATGCAATATTTTATCCAAAAAATCTCGTATAAATGAGTCATTACTGTTGAAAGATTAAATTTTTTTTTAAAGTTTTTAAATAAATTAAAATAAACATTTACCTATAATAAATGCGTGATTGTTAAATACATTAGACAACCATTTATTTAAATTCATTATTTTGGAGTTTATTTTCATAAAGTCTTAAATTTTAAGATCCTTTGATACGAAATGTTAAAAAAAACACAAAGCTGGTACTTTGAGAACTTATTTTAGCCTTTATTTATCATTATCTATAGAGAGTTAAGGCTGCAGAATTGCAACATGTAATCTTTGAAGTTATATTTTATGCTATAAAATCTTGGTGTTACATTACAACTATGCAATGTAGATTCTCAGCTTCACTTCTCAATGAATTATAATAAATTAATTTAATCGTTTTTCAAAGTAACAGCTTCAAGCCACATAATATTATTTTACATTTAATTTGACATACAATTACTTATTAATTAATATGTATTATGGTAAAGCTATTGATGAGGAAGAAATCTCTTTGGATTTATAAGACGTCCTAAATATACAGAATAGCTGTTTCTAAAAAGAATATTTGAAAAGTTAAAAAATTAAGTGATGAGCTTGATAAATGATTGAGTAACAAATATTATTTATTTTTGAACCAATGCAATTAATATAGAGTAACTAAAAATAAACATTAAAACTCAGTTGCGAACCATAGTATAACAAGAAGTAAGAGGTTTATTTGTGCCAGTATCACTCGTGGCAAATTGTTTAGGGTATACTTGGTTTAAACGCAGAAAATGGCCGGTTTTATTGTTGTAGAAGGTATTCCTTCTTACTTTTTTCTACTTCAGAAGAATTGGTTAATAAATAACTAATTAAAATTGTATAAATATCATAATTTACTTTCTTTGCCTATATGCACTTCAGTGGCGTCATACGACGTAAAGTGGCATAGGGATCTTATGAGTCGGGCATGGAAGGGTGGGTAAGGTGAATCGTGGTGTGATGGAGCAAGGCAGAAACAAAACAGAAAATCTACTTCCGTTACATATTTTCTTAAGCTCAGAATTCTTAAGTCATTTGCTGATGTCGTAGCGCAGAACGTGGATACATAAGTATACCTTCTATCATGCTGCTGTTCTAGAACCGGATGATTTAAAAGAAAAACCACGGTAAGAACGAAGTTCTTTAAACATGAGATGAGTATAGACACAATTTCTCAGGTAACAAGGGGGTCGCCAGACCCACAGGAAGAACGAGGCTCTGTAAACGTTAGTACTGCATTCATGCTTTTTACTAAAACAAAAACTTTAAAAACGAATAAAAAATAAAAAAAACAGTTTACTATTCACGATGGTTGAACTTCGTGAGTACTGTATTTATGCACGACGTTCTTACGAAGTTCAACCATCGTGAATAGTAAACTATTTTTTTTTTTTTTTTTTATTCGTTTTTAAAGTTTTTGTTTTAGTAAAAAGCATGAATGCAGTACTAACGTTTACAGAGCCTCGTTCTTCCTGTGGGTCTGGCGACCCCCTTGTTACCTGAGAAATTGTGTCTATACTCATCTCATGTTTAAAGAACTTCGTTCTTACCGTGGTTTTTCTTTTAAATCATCCGGTTCTAGAACAGCAGCATGATAGAAGGTATACTTATGTATCCACGTTCTGCGCTACGACATCAGCAAATGACTTAAGAATTCTGAGCTTAAGAAAATATGTAACGGAAGTAGATTTTCTGTTTTGTTTCTGCCNAGGGTGAGGGGAAGTGTGTAGGGGACTAATGGTGAGGGTGATGGGGTAAGAGAGGAAATAAAATGAATTAGAAGCAAGAGACTTCTAGTAAGCGACTTCCATTTTAGGAAAATCTGTCGTTTTTAGAATAAGCCTTCACGCACACAACATAAGAAATAATTAAATAAATAATTCATCATAAGTTGAATGTATTATCAGTGAATGCATATGAAAATGAAATATTACAGTTACGAACCAGACGATAAGAACAAGAAACCGAATTACTATAGCCGGCAGTGCTCGTATCAGAGTGGGTAAGGTACTCGACTTACATGCGGAAGATCGAGGGTTCAAATCGTTTAATTGGAAAGTGTTTTCTTTTTTTTTTCTTGGAATTGTAAAAGAAAAAAATTCAAAGTAAAATAAAAATTATTGTGGGAAAATTAAATTAAAATTTGTTTGAAAATTAATTGCTTGGGAGTGTGAGGGGGAATTGTGGGTAACTGATGGGTATATACATATATAGTGGGAAGAGGGGAAGTGTATAGAGAACAGTAGGAAGACGGGGTAAGGGGGGAAACTTAGAGGAATTCGTTTCAAAAAAAAAAAATCTGTCGGTTTTAAAATTCCAGCCCCCCGAGTAACGCGACATAAAGAACTTCATTCTTAAAATTAAATTAACTATTGCGATAAAAATTTCAATATACAATTTATTAAAAATGTGAATGACTTAGACGTGTACCTTGTAAAATTTTGAATTGGGTATATTTTTCAGTTGATTGACGGATTTCATAAATGAACAACGGTCTTCGGGAAGAAATACCTTTTTTATCGGTTCATTATCAGTTTACAGTTATTCACTTGTATACAGCCTACTAGACAACTTAATATTTGTGTTGAATAGAAGACGTGGGGAGTAATTGGAAAACCATATTTTTTTGAATCTTAACTACTTGTTAAATAGTTGTTATCAAAATCGTTAGCATTATAAACATTTCACTTTAACTCATTAAGTTTACTAAAACTAATGATACAATTTTCGACTAATGTTTATTCAGTAAACATGTTATAGGTATTATATTTTTATTGTGTGACAATTTTTCTAGAGTTTTCAATTGTCTCCTATGTACCCATTTACATTACCATGTGGACATGTGTTTGTAAAAGCACCGCAAATTCAAAGCATAAGTTGTCAACGTAATTAATTAACAAAACAAATCTCATAGTATTTTAATACAAGGTTTAGCAAACATGTTTAGTTCTTACGAATTGTAAAAAAATTAGGCTATAATTCCGTAACAAGCGTTAGAAACTTTTAAATAGCGTTTTTTAAAACTTTTAGTATTGTTAAAAAAATATCCACTGTGTTTAAGCGTCTGTACTGCTACCCTCGTGGCCACATGCGGAAATAGCTTAATGTATGTTAATAAAGCCAAATCGTGTTGCAGAGGTAGGAGCCAAGTTTAAATGATATTTATAACGCATACTCTGTTTAGAGTAACATACTCTTATTTTCTGTGCGCTTTAACAAAATTCTCTTTTAACTGAGAAAGTTTTTTTTTTAGTTAAAAAGAAAAAAAAATTTTTCTTTCTTTTTTGAGGTTGTATGCTTTCAGAGTTTAGCTCAATAAAATGTTCTATACCACATTAATGATATAAGAAATGTCAAGAGATAACTATCTGCATTTGCATCTATAATTTTTTTTCATAATTAAGATAATCTTCATCTTATTTGGCTCAGCTCTAAATACATACAACCTCAAAAAAAAAAAAAAAAAAACTATACTTTAGTTTCAACTATAAGATACGATTCAGCAAAGTTGTACTTTTTTTATTAAACAAACGTTTTTTTATAGAAATATCAATTTCATCGTTCTTAGGTTGAAAAATAATAATTGATTTGACTTGAACGACTTTGCTCCTACGTCTGCAATACAATTTAGATTTGTTTACATACATTAAGTCATTTCCGCAGGTGGCCACGAAGGCAGCAGTACAGGTAGTTACACATAGCGGATAGAAGCATATATGACCTATAGTTATAGAGCCTCATCTCTATTATTAAGCGTATGAGTTAAAATTATGTGATAAAGTTGGTGTGATTATAAAATATATTTTTTCTAATAAATCTAGTGGTTGAGTACCTTTTTCTGTAAATATTTAACACTTTGTTAGTTTTATTATAATATCTAAAACCCTTAATAATATAGGCAGGGCTCAGTAATTAGGTCAGCTACTATAATAGGTTCCAAGCAGTTTAACACAATTTTTTTGCTAACTATTAACAAGAGAATGAAAAAATTTTCTATAAGTTTGTTTTAATAACTGAAAGAAATAGAAATGACATTTTTTTGTAAAAGTGCTGAGAGAATTAAAGTATGTCACTTTTAAATACATTAAAAATATTAAGCTTATTCATAGAGTACCTCAGGTTAGAAAAGTTCCTATCAGCCTTTTGATTGTGTCCTGAATTATTATAAGAGCCTGTTTTGACATACTCTGCAAAGGTTAATAGAATAATTAAATGTTACTTTCTTTTACCTTTTCGTCACTACTCGTAAGATAACAGAGCCTGCTTCAGCTGTGGAGTAGACTGAGATGCCAGTGCCATGACCAACACTTACTTCTCACCTATCTCTACTTTGTATCTGCAGAACTTTTTTTACCTGTGGTCTATCTTTATTACCTAGACTTCTGTATACATGAGATTAGCGTGAGAAAATTCTTTATAAAGTTTGACGTTTGTCTTTACTTATTTTTTAAAACTTATCTAACATAATGCACAAAAGATTCACTTTATACATATTATTACAACTGCCTAATTACTGTGTTAAAAAAGTACATAAATACATATTACCCCAATTAACACTACAAGGAATATTTAACATTACTATAATGCTAATTTAGGTAGCTTATCCAATCTTCGAACAGTTATTGACTTAGCCACGGAAAACAATACATTGGACTCGGCAGATTGCGAGTGCTTACCTACATGCGATGAAAACACATACACTTCAAATACTGAAAATGCGCTTATGGATAACGTGCCTTACTATTCTCAAATTTTGTGAGTAGCTCCTTCGCTTATCCTTGAAGTTTTTATCCAACTAATATTTGAACATCACAAGTTCATTTTTACAGAGAAGGATTCAACGTCAAAAATGTTTCTCTTGCTAATATCTACTTTCGTAGTATAACTTGTTTGAAGTATCGAAAAGAATCATGGATGTCTTGGGATAATGTGCTTGGTAAGATAATTTTAACTATCGGCAACTTTTTTTTTTATTATTGACTAATTTTTCTTTTAGCATCTTTCGGAGGCATTTTTGGATTATGTTTAGGGGGATCATTTGTCAGTCTGGTTGAATTCTTGTACTACTTTGTGCATAAGCTTTTGTATAATTCAGGGGATGATACATTTCAGTCTCCTGTAGTAGTTAAACCATCAACTTTATCCCAGATAAAATTGTCAGTCCCTGGCATAGAAAAACTTGAAGACTTGAGCAGAAGAATGCCCAATCGCCCAATAAGTTTCAAAGGGATCAGTTTATTGAAAGATAACAGAACTTATCACCACGAGCTGAACAAAAATACTGAAAAAGTTTATCAGCACAACAAATTTGTAAAGAGTTTCTTAACGGTTCCTGAATAATTTTAAGTATCTAGTGAAAAGCTCTTATTTAAGTAGTAAATATTCTACACAAAGTAAGTAGTCGTGCTTTTTAAATCTAATTGGAATAAAATAACTTGATAAAAAATCGATACGGTGTTTTGAAGGCTTTTTTTCTACCAGTTGAATTGAACTATTGTAACGGAATCATTGTTCTATCAGAAAAGTGGCAAAAGGTCATTGATATAAACGATGCACATATTGCTGATAAGTGTTTAAGATTTATAAAAATAAATTTTCTTCGTAAAACAGGAAAAAAACTTAATTACTTTTACCCCAATCATTATTTTAACTATTTCACGCAATCGTTAAATTGGAGCTCTCGTAAGGTACCTAAGTTTTTATGTACGTGCCAACTACTTAATCTTTAGTTTAAAGTAATTTTAATAGTGACGATAGCGTTTGTCAGAATTTTTAAATGTTACTGTAGGCTACGGTCTTAGCCTAGATGCAATTATTCAGTACTTAAACCGTAATGAAACTCCTTAATGATTCATACAGCAAAGAATAACAAAATATTTTAAAAAATGTAATCGTGTAACCAATAAGCTGTTTTACATTTATTGTACATTTTTTAAAATTAAATTTACCTATAAAAACTTTTTTAATTTATTAATAATAATCTTTTTTTCGCATTTTTGAGTGATTCTGATGAACTGTGGGTAAAGTATCTTTGCATTACTGTGTAAAAATATCATACATATAAAACAATACAAGTATCTACTTTTTATATTTATGTGCGACAAAAGTTCATTTTCAAGTTTATATGCAGCATACTTTCTTTTGTGTTTATCCTTCTGTAAAAAAAGTTTTTGTTTTGCAAATCATACATGATCTTTCTGGCATTACAAAATGTAAGCATCTTATCATTCAGTATTTGTTACTTGCCCTGTATGATGCAACTGACAGTACTACTTTTTCAGTAATTCGTCATAGGTTTTTTCTCAACTACGAAATATTTAAATTTACATTGTTTAATGTTTTCCAGTAGAAAGTGAAAAAGAATTTTCTGTTCATACAACAACAAAAAAAACTAGGTGTGGGTCTCGGGACCCCCAACAGATGTGAAACCTGAAAGTATGTGTTATTAAACAATCAATCGCTCTCATTTGAAATTTTTATTTTTAAATGACAGTTTATTTACAAATATGTTTTTTAATTAGTGAATATTGAAAAAGCTGAAAAAAGCAAATATCAGATAATGTTTATTTTTATTTATTTATTAACAAACAAGCAACGAGAATGAGAATGAATAACATAACATGGTGAATAGTATCTGTACTACCTATCTATAAATAGGTATATACATTATGACCATCGATTATCACTACAGAAAAAGCAATGTATTTTTTCTTTTCAATTAAGTACACTTAATAAGATGGGAGTACCATGATCAAAGTCAAGATTGCATAACATGATTTCTCCTTAGAATAATTTTAATTACTTTTACGTTAAACCTTTAAACAAAGCGCCAAGCAGTGAACGAGCTTGCAGTGACAACAGCACTAAAGATTTTGTTATTATTACTGACTTTCAACAGCTTTAAATGTTAGGGAGTCAGCCTCTTCTCTTCTGCCTGCGAATAGATCAGAGGGACGTAACTATGCGCTAGACCCCCCAAAAACCGAGGCCCTCAAGTACGTCAAAATGCATGATTAATCAGTCCCTGTCCAGGATTGCTCCACTTGACATGCTCTAAGGAATTATCTTTTGGAATTATACTATTGGGTACCCTTAAGCTGTAAAAGTGCTTGAGTATGCCATAGCAGTGCTATGACTTGTATTTCATGCACACGTACATTTAAACTTTGTAATTCTATAATTTTAAATCACATTGTCATTATAATTAAGTGAGTAAGTCAAATGGAAATGTATCAAGTGAATGGTGATTAAAAATATTTTGTATTTTTTTTTTAGTTTTTACAGCTTGCGCGCTGTCACTATGTATAGTAGGGTGGTCATTGAAAATTAAATTTTTTCAGGCGCCCAAAAAAAAAAACTTTCCTTTCGACGAAAACCTACGGGAAAAACTTTTTTTTTTTGAAAATATATCCTACAAGTACTTTTTCATCATTTTCAATTAAAATTTGAATCTTCAGAATATATTGAAAAAAACTAAAATTTTATCGAAGAATAAACTTCAATTGGTACGTGGCACTTGATATTTTTTTTTTTTTTTTTTAAAAAAAAAATTTTCCCCGTAGTTTTTTTTCAAAAGGAAAGCTTTTTTTGGGCACCTGAAAAAATTTAATTTTCTACGACTACCCTAATTTATAGTTTTTATTAACTAAATAGATAATCCGTTAATTTTTCTTATAAATTTTTGTTAAATATGATTTATTCATTTTCCTGTATTATATCCAAATAATAAATTTTTTAATAACAGTACAGATTAAATTCTTGTTTACCGATTGGTTGTGAATTACAGATAAAGGTAAGATATCATAATATCATAAATGTCGGGCTCATAACACACCTCCAGATCACCTTTTAGCTTACGTCCAAATACGTGAAATAACAAAGGCCCCATTACATCCGTTATCCTCCTTAAAAATTATTCTGTGATTAATGGGTACCAGGTATAATTTAATATAAATATATCAATGATTAGTATTTCGTTAATGTTAAATAAAAGTATAAAGGAGAAACAATGTATATGCATGTGCTTCGTGCTAGATACCGACTCGTGACTCATTAAATTAAATGAATATAACAATAAATGAAATCTTGTTATTTTGGGCTAACGTATACGTGTAAATGATTAAAATTAATGAGAAAACGTCACAACACATGTTTAACAGTACATTCTTGCGTATTACTTTCTCTATCTTTCTGTCTCTTTTCAGATACCTATGCATAGTTACACACGTACGTGAGCTTCTTGTTCTGTCTTATTATTTATTTAGCTTTTGGGTACCTAACTAATTTGACTTCGTTATGCCACATTTCATGCTTGTTTTTATGTTCTTAAATTTTTGGTACCGTGTTTTAATTACTGACTATGACGGCAACATAAACACTGATGAGGCAAAAGCTATCAAAATGATAGTGATACATATAGAAAAAAAATCCCATGGAGATGCCACGAGTGCATAGAGTAAGGATCGAACCCTTGTCCTCCACGTGGAAAGCAAACGCTTTACTACTAAGCTACTGGTAGCTCGCTACGTGTATGAATTTTGGTGGCCCTTTACTAAACGCGGGTTAACAAAGAGTATGAGTGAACTCAATTTCAAGACTCCGGCAAATTTATTAACTATGGTCAAATTATTATTACATTTTAAGAAAATCAAAACGTTAAAAAAATCTTCAAGTAATAATACTTTTTCTAAAATTTATTCGTCATTTTCTACTGTCACAAAATATTGAGATAAGCAATAATAAAGGCTTACATGTATGAATACAACAGAGAGAGCGAGCATTATAGTGGACGATAAATGGCTCCATCTAGATCACGTACTCTTACAGGTACTGCCAAAATATCTTTTTCATTTTTTTTTCTCAACATTTTGCGCTTGTCGAAAAAAAGTAGAAGTGCTTGTTAACAGAAAGTTTTTCACCCTACACGCTGGTATACTCATTTTCTCTGTATCTTAAATCTCGTTATAAGATATAAGCAAAACAAACTTTAAAACACGATTTAACATGATTCAACCACTTAAAAATAATATAACTATTTTATTTGTAATTAGTGGGCTGAACTTCGTATACTACAAGAAACGCTTAATTATCGATTAATTTTCTAATGTAGAAGTCTCTCATTTGGTATACATAAGTAATAAGAACATAGATTAAGTCGGTATGCTGCGTAGCAAAATCTGTAAGGTCTCTGACTAACAATACAAAGGTTGAGGACTCTATTCACTGAGTCCGTTCATTTTTGTAAATTTTTTTAAAACTTATATATTTGTATAATACACGTTTACTTTATTCTTATACATATGTATATGCTATGGAAGTACAAGTAGTTGCTTACGACTTTGATAGTTACTCATGAATGCTAGAAAAACGCTGACCAAGACTCTGTTTCCCGGGTACCCAGGAAGATACACTCACGTTAAAACGTGGACAGCGAGTCCGCTTTTCCTTGTTCTCGTCTGCTTTCTGCGGGGCCAGCTCAGCTCTGGTCTCACGTAGGGTATTCACTGGAAGCAAACATTTAATAATCTTAGGAACTGAATCAATTTGAATTGCACTGATATAAAAGCGTATGTGTGTGTGTACGTGTGTGTATTTTCCTCGACTACACTAGCAGCAAGGCACTTACGGCTGGGGAAAGCTTTCCTCAACAAGCCGATAGCACATAGTAGTTCTACCAGGCACAAAGAGAATTAACGCAGCAAACAAGCTTTTTCACGTATACACTGTGCTGACCTGGCTTTTCTTAGCCTCGCGTTTTCTCTTGTTGATCAAGTGGATGGTCTCTCGACAAGCATTCTTAGCCCAATATCCTGCTGGCAAGTCACTCGGTAGCAAGTGTGAGACGACAGGAGCTGACAAAGCAATGACAAGGCTGTCCCCTGGTGTAATAGTTATAGTTAGTTTTTATTAGCTTAGAGGAAACATACAGCTATTAAATAATGTACGTGGTAAATCACACAGGACTATTATTTGTATGATCAATAAAGTGAACATAATTTTTTTTTTTTTTTTGTTTCCCTATGAAGTATTGTATTGACATTATGAAATTAGTACCGATCAAAATAGGTCGTGTTATACACCTTGTAAACATATACTTACAATTATCTAGTTTACCGCTATTATATGAAAATAGTTTCGGTTAAACTTTATGACACGCATACATAATATTATTGTTGTTATTATTAATATTTTTTGTTCTCCAAATTATATGTACCGTAATCCGTATGTATGTACATCATATATACGTATGTAAATACGCGCATACTTATACAATATGGTAACCAGTTACAACTTGTATTCAGTATTAATATCAATTTCTAAAATGAAAGAGGAGATTTCCT